GCCTGCTGCTGGTTCCCCCTGCCCCAGGCTGACACTGCCCAGCTTTCCAGGAGCTCTGTGACACGTTTTTAAGGAGCTCTCGATGATATTTTTAAGGAGCTCTGAGTGATGTCTGTCAAGTCTCCCTCTGTCCCAGCCCTGCTGTTACAGAAATGATGACTTGCCACGCTCCTCGTGTTTTCTGACAAAATATCAGAGGCACCAAGGGAGAAAACTGAGTGACATACGAGTCGTGGTGGCAGAGGAAACGTTTATTTTAAAAGACCTCAAATTTTTATTCCGTTTTTCAGGTCGTCATAAACGGCGGAGCCACCTCCAGCGGCGATCAGGACACCGAGGACACGGAGCTGATGGCCATCTACACCACAGAGAATGGCATAGCAGAAAAGGTACGTGGGGCTTCCCTGCTGGCTGAGAGCTCATTCTTGCTCTCCCAGCTCGTGATTTGCCCTCAGCAGCCGCCCCAGATTGAGGTTTCCTGTCTCAGAGCTGCTGACTTGCAGATTCACATCACCCCGGGGAGTTGTGCCCTCATGACTCCCGGTCACACTCTTTGGTTGCAGCACTTGGGGCATGACTCAGGAAATGGTGGAAGAAGTTCATGCCTTTAATTTTGATTTTTCCAGCTTTTTTTCCTCCATTCTTTCATTCCTTCATTCCTTCATTCCCTCATTCCCCTTCTGTCCAAAATCCTGCAAGCAGAGATGGTATGAACCTGAGCTTTTGTTTAAAATAAGGATGAGGATTATGGTAAATCTGAGTTTCTGAAATACTCAGTCAGACTGGATTTGTAGTAAGGCCTTGTCTCTGAAAAACTTCAACCTGACCAAAGTTCTTCAAATGTCCTGATTGAAACAAGAACAAAACTCCTGTTCCAAGCAGGGGCAGGATGATGCTCCTTCCTTCAAGGGCAAGGATGACATCAAGGGATGCAGCTAATGCTTTCTAACTCAGACACCAAAACTCAGTGGTGAATTTCAGATTTAAAGCATCCCCTGAGCAGCCAGGGGTGTGTCAGTGCTGGGTCCCAGCTCCCTCTGCCCCTGTGTCTCACATTCCGTGGACAGGTTTGTGTTGACCTGGGCAAGTTCCTGATGGCTGATTTTTGGAGCATGCTGGGGCTGGAGTGGAGAGGCACAATCTGATAAAAGCCTTGAGTAAAAGGTGTTTGGGTGGGATTGTGCAACGAGATAAACGATCGCCAGACGCGCAGCTTCACCAAGTGTGCTTTTCTCCCTTCCACTTGATCCCTGTGATCACACCTGGGGGTGATGGAGAATAATCCACCTAAAGCAGACCAGGAGCTTCTGATTAACCAGCTCTCCTCGAGTTAAAGCTTTGCTGTGGCTCCCAGTGAAGGAACAGGGGTGGCACAGGATCCCTGGGGCTGCCCCTGCATCCCTGGAAGCCTGGAATCCAGCTTGGACAGGGCTTGGAGCCACCTGGGGGTGGTGGGAGGTGTCCCTGCCCATGGCAGGGGTGGCACTGGGCCTTAAGGTCTTTGCAAGCCAGGCTGGATGTCAGCAGGAATTTTTTTATGGATTGGAAGGGGCGTCCCAGGGTAGTGATGGAGTCCCCATCCCTGGAGGTCTTCAAGAAATGTGTGTTTGGAGATGTGGTTTGGTGGTGACCATGGTGGTGCTGCTCTCTTGGTGGTCCTGATGATCTGAAAGGGCTTTTCCAGCTTTAACTATTCCATGATTCAAATCCTTAATTTTTTTTCACGTGGGTTTTTCTTTAGAGAATTGGGTCAGGAGAGAATCTGTTCATTTTCCAGTCAGTGAAAAGCTGTCACTGGTGCTGCAGGAGGGGCTGGGCAGGGGCAGCTCCCTGGAGAGGATTTCTCAGTGCTCAAAGTGCTTTCTCCGAAATGAGAGTTTCTATATTTTGCTTTTTGCTGCAACACCCTCCACATCCCCCCAGCACTGCGCTCCCAGAACGTGAGCGATCCCAGTGGATTTGTTTTCCCAACAGAAGGCTGAGCTGAGCAGGGGGGAGAGTGCCAGGCTCAGTTTGGCTGGCTGACCTTGCAGGTGGCTCCAAGTGGAGATTTCCTCAGCATAACCCGTGGATGTGTTGGGATTTTTGGAGAAGCAGAGACCATTTGAGGCAGTCACGAGTCTGGCAGAGTTCCCAGGCTCTGCGTGAGGCAGCTTCACGTGAGTTTGTGTCTTGGGCTGGATTAGGGCAGAGCACTTGTGTTGTATAAGGTAATTTTTTTTTTTTTTTTAGTTACTTGATCTGAAATGACAAAATCTGATACTTCCTCCTTCCTGCTTTTATTGTTGTGCTGGGTTTGTTCTCAGGAATTTCCAAAGCAGAGGGTTTGGATGGAAAGGATTCCACTTCTTTGTGGCAGAGAAATGACATAGAGTGTTTGTTTCCTTGTGTTAAATCTGCAGGGTGTTGATGTGTGAATGTCTGTGGGCAGTTGTCCATTGGCTCTCACAGCTTGGCCTTGCCCAAATTCCTGGGGGAATTTAAATTCCTGCAGGAATTCTGCTTGACTGGTGGAAATTGGTTGGGGATTAATTTGGGTATAATAATTAGCATTTTTCCTGACTGCATAAATGCAGGGGGTGGGGGGGGGGGAGAAGAAAAATGATAAATTCTTTGGCTGAAAGTGGTTAACCAGGATGAAATTGGGTAAGAGCAAAGCAGGGAAGCAATTATCATAATGAGGATTTATTTTTGCCAGTCATTTTCATCTCTGATGCAAGGACAGAGCTCTTCTTAGTTCCAATTCTTCCCTATTTTATTTCTGTGTTTGTTTTTGTGGTTTTTGGGGTTTGGTGGGGTTTTTTTAACAGTTTTGTCACGATGAATCCATTTTTGGGCACCTTTTGGCTGCCAGATCAGTTCTGTCACAAATCAGCAATTATAAATAAATAAGCAGGGAGTGGCTGTCAGAAGGGAACGTGTTGGGTACAAATTCAGGAGCTGGATGTGAAAGGCTTTGAAATCGTCACAAATCAGCATCACTTGGGAGTTGCCTGACAGTTGAAATTCACTTTATTCCATGCAGCAATAACCTGCTGGTGTCTCTTCTTCCTGCAGAGCTCCCTGGCTGAGACCCTGGACAGCAGTGGCAGCTTGGATGCCCAGAGGACTGACATGATTTACACCATTGAGGATGTTCCTCCCTGGTACCTCTGCATATTTCTGGGCTTGCAGGTACATCCCAAAACAGTTCTTTCTTCTCTAACTTTGAAAGTTTCTCGAGGATTTTATGTCCATTTTGTGTGGGGGAGTTTTTACCCTTCTCCACTCTCAGGTGGTTGAAGAAGTTTCTCCTGGAGCTCATTCAGATCATTGCTCTGAGAATGTTTTTGAGTTTTCATTTGTGAGATTCACTTCAGTATTTAGAGTTGTAAGTTGTTAGTAGATGAGTGAGGAAAGGCTCAGTGCTAGGGACGTTTTGTCCAAACAAACACATTCCAAAGCATTCTTTTTATTCCTGCCTTTTCCTCAAGGACAGGCAGTTCTGTAGGAATCCTGTTTCTACTTGTGTGTGGAGTATGGTGAAGATTTCTTCGTTGTTTTGCTTTTGATGTGCTTGTGTGGAGGAAGAATTAAGGATTATCCATCTGCTGGTCCTCGGGAGCTCCTCTGTGTGTGCTCCAGGTTGATTTGTGAGCCAGGGGATGTGACTGGAGATATTTCTGGGCTGGAGGCTGCTCTCAGGAGAGTTACCTGGGTGTCTCCTCACGCAGCAGAGCAGCTGTGGAGATGTTTCAGTTCCCTGTGTGTCTCACTAAGGACTTTTGGCTTTGGGATCTTTTTCCCTTTGAACTGAAGATTGACCAGAGGGAGGCAGTTTTCTCTCGTTCGGTCTCAGTTGTTTATTTTTCCTTCTCAGCATTACAAGGTACAAGGAGCTGTGTGCACTATGATAGAAAAGGGTAAAATGGCCAACAAAAATCTTCTTCAAGGTCTTTTATATGTCCATTTACCCAATTAACAGGTGCCAACTAAATTATTTTCCTTAGTGACCCAGTGACCCAACACCTGAGTGCTGCACTGTGGCATTTTCTACCCAATCACTTAAAACCACCCAAAAACCCTTAGGAGAAGAACATGAAGAAGAAAGGACAAGAGACAACACCCCAAATCCTCCATCCTGTCTCCTGTTCTCTAAACTAACTTTTTCACCCAGTGATTTAAAAAACTTTCTAATCTACACACTTACACTTTCCCTATCTAACTTTAACATTTGTTCTCAGGTATCACCATGAAAACATGCTCATGAATTTCATGTTAGATGAAATTCAGTGTTTTTTTGAATCTTATAACTAAGTATTAGAAACAAGGGCACACACTCTGTATCTCAGACTCCAACACCTGTGGACGGCACAGGAATCAGACGGGAGATCTCAGGATGACGGGAGAGCAGAGCTCAGGGAGCTTTGCTGGGGACCCAGGAGGGAAAAAGAAGGAAAAGCTGCTGATGGAATGACTGACTTTGGTGTCCCCTGCCTGTTCCCCCAGCACTACCTGACGTGTTTCAGCGGGACCATCGCCGTGCCCTTCCTGCTGGCCGATGCCATGTGCGTGGGCTTTGACCAGTGGGCCACCAGCCAGCTCATCGGGACCATCTTCTTCTGCGTGGGCATCACCACCCTGCTGCAGACCACCTTCGGCTGCAGGTCAGAGCTGGGGCTTGGGCTGCCCCTGGGCAACCTTGGCACCTCCCAGGAGCCAGGAGTGGGGGTTTCCAGAGGAGGAACACAAAACCGGCAGCAGCGGGTGATCAGGGGAAGCTGCTCCCAAAAAGGGATCTGAAATAAAATAAAATAATATAAAATAAAATAAAATAATATAAAATAATATCTACCAGGAGTGGGGGTTTCCAGAGGAGGCAGCAGCAGGTGATCAGGGAAAGCTGCTCCCAAAAAGGGATCTGAAATAAAATAAAATAATATAAAATAATATCTACCAGGAGTGGGGGTTTCCAGAGGAGGAACACAAAACCGGCAGCAGCGGGTGATCAGGGGAAGCTGCTCCCAAAAAGGGATCTGAAATAAAATAAAATAATATAAAATAATATCTACCAGGAGTGGGGGTTTCCAGAGGAGGAACACAAAACCGGCAGCAGCGGGTGATCAGGGGAAGCTGCTCCCAAAAAGGGATCTGAAATAAAATAAAATAATATAAAATAATATCTACCAGGAGTGGGGGTTTCCAGAGGAGGAACACAAAACCGGCAGCAGCGGGTGATCAGGGGAAGCTGCTCCCAAAAAGGGATCTGAAATAAAATAAAATAATATAAAATAATATCTACCAGGAGTGGGGGTTTCCAGAGGAGGAACACAAAACCGGCAGCAGCGGGTGATCAGGGGAAGCTGCTCCCAAAAAGGGATCTGAAATAAAATAAAATAATATAAAATAATATCTACCAGGAGTGGGGGTTTCCAGAGGAGGAACACAAAACCGGCAGCAGCGGGTGATCAGGGGAAGCTGCTCCCAAAAAGGGATCTGAAATAAAATAAAATAATATAAAATAATATCTACCAGGAGTGGGGGTTTCCAGAGGAGGAACACAAAACCGGCAGCAGCGGGTGATCAGGGGAAGCTGCTCCCAAAAAGGGATCTGAAATAAAATAAAATAATATAAAATATGAAATGAAATAATAAAATAAAATCTCCCAGGAGCCAGGAGTGGGGGGATTTCCAGAGGAGGAACCAGCAGCAGCAGGTGATCAGGGAAAGCTTTGGGAAAGCTGCTCCCAAAAAAAAGAGGGATCTGAAATAAAATAAAACATCCCAAGGGTGAGAAAATACAGCACAGGGAGGAGGGAGAGGGAAAAACCCATCTGAGAAGGCAGAAGTTTTCCTGGAGGATGAAAACTTCCTACACCTGGGTAAAGGGGAGCTAACTACAATATTTTAATTAGTTTCTTGAAGTAAATTCTTGGCAATGTTTAAGATGTGGTGTTGGCAAGAACAGGATGTTGTTTTATTAAGATAAATCTTTAAAAACCTGTGTTCCACAGTGACCACTGCACAAAAGGATTTTTTTTCACCCCTCCCAGCTAATCTTGGATTTTTGTCACTTACTAAAGAGGGATTTAGGGCTCATTCAGAGAGGAGGGGCCCAAAATTAACAGTGCCATCATTTGGAAATCCTCTATTCTTTCTGTGTAATCCCAGCCCTGCCCGGGATTTTTCCCTTTTCAGTGGCTCCCACTTGCACTGTACTTACATTTTTATATCCCTGAAGGCCAAATTGTGTTTGGCTCTTAAAATAACTTGTATTTAAGGAGGAAATTTCCACGCCTGGATGTTTTATAACTATTCCCCATGTGATTTATATAAACCACGTGGGTTTATATAAAGCTGGGAATTGGATACAGCAGCACAGGCCTCTCAATGAGATTTGCAGGTATTCATTGGCAAGATCTGCCAACTGCAAAGTATTTCAGCAAATAAAGGTTTCAAAAGGTCAAATTCCACGGTTTAAGGGTCCTTAAAGATGGATTTAGCTCGATTACGAGGTGGAGTTGTGGTCAGTTTGGTACCCAGAGCAGTTCTAGGAATCCCAGCTATTCCTGGAGTTATGTAGCCAGCCCCAGCTCTGGCAGGGGTTCATTAGTGGGTAATTAGTGGCGCTGAGACCATCAAATACAGATTTAATCCACGCCAGGGTGGCGTGCCTGTCGCCGCTTTCTCACATCTGTGGGACATGTGAACACAATGAGACATTTCCAGATGTCAGAAAAACTCTTGTGGGTGCCAAAATGGAGCAACTTGATGATTTAGGAGTGAAATTTAAATGGTACTTAGAGATTTTGGTGCTTTAGCTGGCTTAAAATCTGTAAGTCACGTTCCAAACTTGACAGAGAGACAGATCTTGGTTGACTGATTTTGAGCAATTTGTTAAAAAAAATCGTTAAAAAGTAAATTACTTTTTATTTGTTGCCTGGCATAAGGAAAAAAAAAAAAAAAATCCAGATTTTGAGCCTTTTGGGAGCTGCCTCAGTTACCTGTGGCAGGTAAAAGCTGAGCAGGACGTGCTGGGGTGTGATTTTCCACGGGTGTTTAATGGGATGGAGAGCAGCAGTGACCTCAGCAGCGGAGAATGTGTTTTGTGTTTGCAGTGTGTGTTTACCCGAGCTCAGAGGGGGCTGTGGGGCTGTGTAGGTGGGATGGAGCAGTAGCAGCTTGTTCCAGGTGTTGCACACCTGCCATGGGGCACCAGCTTTGCTTAATGAGCCTGGCACAAGGGGGTGAATCATTCCCTGGGCCACCAGCCCTGGCTTCCCGGAGACAGAGCTGGGATTTGTGCTTGAAGGAGCTCCCAGTGCGAGTTTGGTCCGCTCAGCCATGCCTGGTTGGCTCCTGGAGTTGATAAAATTCGAGTTTCCAATGGAATTTCCAACATTGGGTGGGTTTGAAGTTGCCCAAACTGCTCCAGCTTCTGCCTGAGAACTTGACAGCTACCGTTAATAACACGCCTCTGGTTTGATCTTTTCTGTGCTCAGGGTACGTTTTCCCCTCCACACTTCTCCTCCTTGGAGCATTTTCTGGTCTTTACCTGAACCTGAGCAGTTCTTTCTCCTGTAAAACAGCCCCTGAGCAATTAATTCCCTGTGTCACAGCTTGGCATCTCCTGTTGGAGGGAATCTCATGGCCCTGCATTCACGTCAATATTAGTTCAAAGTGCACCTGTAGCTCAGTTACACTGGGTTGTTTGTTACACAGGGTAACAAATTGGGATTATTCGTTGGCTGCTCTGAGTTGTGAGTAATGATCATTCCTGGAGCTGTGAATTCAATAAATTGAATTCAATGTATTCAATAAATCCATAATGGGTGCAGGTAGATCCTCTTTAGATCTTTAAACCATTTGGGAAGTAGAAACACCGACGCTAAGAATGTAATCTTGAAATTCTCGTCATGTTTGTGTTTATTGGTGGCAACCACTTGGAACATCTAATCTGCTCCCATCGACCCAGCAGTTATTGACACACACATTTAGAAATGAGTGTACTGGGAGTGCTGCCCAGGGAAGGGATGGAAAATGTGAATTCTCTCCAGAGAATTCCCTGTGCTGGGGTGGGAAAATCTGTTCCCCCAGCTCAGTGTCCATCAGTGCCTGGCCCCCTGGGGTTACCCCCTTGGTAGCTTGGCTTTTTGCCTTGTGAAATCTTTGTATTTCTCTGACTGGGTTTTTTTTTTTTTTTTGGTGAGAAATCCTCTTATTTCCCAGTTTTACAGCTGAGTAAAGGGTGGTCTGAGTGCCCACCCACCCAGGATGTCACCATCTCTCCTCTCCCTTTCCAGGTTACCCCTGTTCCAAGCCAGTGCTTTTGCGTTTTTAGCACCTGCCAGAGCCATTCTCTCTCTGGAGAAGTGGAAGTGCAATAACACAGGTAATTATTGTTTATCCTTCTCCAGGTTTAAGTGACAAATGGCCCAGGTCACGTGGAGTGCAGCTGCCAGAGCTGCTGACATAAAAACTGGGAGTAATGAGCAGGGAATATGGAAAACCTCTCTTTTTACAGTGTTTAAAATACTGTGCCACAGAAGATCCCTAAAAATGTCTTTGTGGAGTTCTGTTTCTGGGGATTTTTTTTTTACTAGAAAAACGTTGACAAAGGAAAGGTAAACGTGGCATAAAATAATTCTCCTGTTCCATTTGCATTCCGTTAATGTTCCTTCCCGTAACGTTCCAAACATTTGGAAATAGCGAGTCCAACGGAATCCTTTGAAGTTGTGAGTGGGAGGGAGTTTGAGCAATGAGCAGCATCACCTCCAGACCAGGATTTTCCCCTGTTTCAGTCATACCTGACAGGTTTTGACAAGATTTGGATGTTCTTTTTCACTCTTTCCCTGCTGATGTCGTCATCCTGGGAGGTTTGATGTTCAGAGGGAAAAGATTCTGGGATGGGAGCATTTGGATTTTCAATCCAATCCAATTTTTCGATTCAGTTTGCTTTGGATTGGATTGGATTGGACTGGATTGGATTGGATTGGACTGGGAGGTGGAAATGACTCTGGCAGTTTCCTGTTCAGTGGGGGTGGTTACTCAGTACCAGGGCAGTGGGAATCACGCTGCTCACTCCTGACTGAAGCTCTTCCCAGAGCTCCTCTGGACTCTCATAATTGAATTTCTATTACTTGTGTGTTGATACATCTCTGTGAGCTCACATTCAAGATGTGATCAATACCCAGCTTGTTGAAATAAACTGATAACCCTGGGTGGAGAGGCAGTTTTCCCCACAACTCCACATTTCCAAAAAGAGCTTTGCTGCATCTTCCTCCTGAACCTTTTCACCTTCCAGAGCTGCAGGTTGGGGTTGTGCTCATTCCCTGAGTGACCCCAGCTGGGAACAGCAAGCCCTGGGGTTTGTGATTGCAGGATTGGAGTGGGGAGAGGATTCCTGACATTTCTGTTTTCCCTCTTGGGTGCAGAGGGCTGGCTCTTGGGGACGCTGAGCTGCTGTCACTTCACCCGTGACAGAATTGCTCTCTGTGTGAATTTGGGGCTCATTTATCAGGCAGGGCGTGAGGAGGGATTTGTTTTGTGTGAAATGCTGGCAGAGTGGCTGGGGAACAAACCCCTGTTTGTTTTTTCTCCCTTGGCAAGATCTAACAGTTACAAACGGAACGGCAGAGCTGCTGCACACGGAGCACATCTGGTACCCCCGGATACGAGAGGTAATGTGGGACTTGCCTTTAGCTGTCACTCTTCTCCAGTTCCAGTTAAGTTTCTCACTTAATCATCTGTGTCTTCTTGTCTTTAAGTTGGTAACTTCTTGTTTTCTCTGCAATCTCCATTTGGATATATCCCTTTCCTCATTTCACGGAAGTCTTCCATCTTTTCCACCTGTTCATTGCTGGACAGCAAATACCAGGAGTTAGTTACCACATCCCAAAAGCTGTGCAGTGAGCTGCTCCAGTGAGATGAAAACTCCTAATTTCCATCTGTGTTCAGCTGCTGCCAGGCCTCTTGCCTGCTGTGCTGGCCCCTGGAAGGTGAATCCGCAGTTAGGGAATCTGGTTCCTTCCCAAGTGTCTTTAAGTTGGAGACTCTTGTGATGAGAGGTTGAGACTTGTGGAATCCCTGGAAAGTCCTTCTCCACTCACAGTGTGAGGTTGTGGTGCCCTGCAGGGCAGGCTGAGGGCTGTGCCACGCCAGGGTGGCAGGTAGAGTAGTCCAAATGAAGGCGTGTGTCATGGAATTGATCTCCCATCCCGTTGCTTTGGGCTGCCAACTTTTTCTTAATTAAAAACAACCCCTCTCTCTTCCCCATGTTCAAACCATAGCTACATCCTGCCAAGAGCCCTGCAGCCAAGAGGGCTGACAGTCTCCTGAGACCACAACGCTGCTCTAATCCAGCTTCTAAGGAGCACTTGTGACCAATGCAGCACACACTCTGCCCCTAGGAGCTAGGAGCATCACCTCGTGGCGCACCAACCCTTGCCGTTCGATCTGAGAGCTTAAAGGTTAGCCTGGACCCCAGGTCTCCTGTCTGACAGTGTGATGTGCTTTCCACACAGCTTCCAGACTGGCCCACTGGTCTGTTGTGTAATAGTTTTGTGGAGAAAACCATAAGTGTTATGCTTAAAGCGATAAGTCACTTAAACATAATGAGCTGTTTTATGACGGGGAAAAAAAAAAAAACTAAAAAAAAAAAAATTTTGCTGAGTTCTTCTGTGTCACTGAATTCTTTTAACTGCAGTTTGTAATCCAGAGCAGAAAAACAAATTTCCTGTCAGATGGGACTGAGCTGCCTCTCTGCCCTGTTGTGTGTTCAGATCCAAGGTGCCATCATCATGTCGTCGCTGATCGAGGTGGTGATCGGGCTGCTGGGGCTGCCCGGGGCTCTGCTGCGCTACATTGGCCCCCTGACCATCACCCCCACCGTGGCCCTCATCGGCCTCTCGGGCTTCCAGGCTGCTGGGGAGAGAGCTGGCAAGCACTGGGGCATCGCCATGCTGTGAGTACCCTGCTGGGGAGGCAGGATTTTGGGTGCTGGGGAGGCTGCTGAGCGCTGCCAGCGTGGAGAAACACCGGGGGCAGGAACGTGGATGAGTCCAGCTGGAAATGTGGGAATCAGGATTGAGAGCAGCAGCTCGGGAGAAAAAGCCTGAAGAAGCTTTTTCCCTGGGAAGAAATCCTGCCCTGGGAGGATGAGGAGGCCCCAGAGCAGCTGTGGCTGCCCCTGGATCCCTGTGAGTGCCCAAGGCCGGGATGGATGGGCAGCTGGAAAACCAGCTTCAACTGATTCAACTTCAACAGCAGCTGGAAAATCAGCTCCCAGAGTATTTACAGGAATCATGGAATGATTTGGGTGGGCAGGAGCTTAAAAACCACCCAGTGCCACCCCTGCCATGGCAGGGACAGCTCCCACTGGCCCAGGGGGCTCCAGTGCTGGTCCAGCCTTGGGCACTCACAGGGACTGGGAAACCTCTGCAGAAAGGCCACACACACAAAGACACAGAAAATCTGAACTAAACCCAGCATTTTCCCTCTGCCAATGCACAAAGTCACAGAAATTAGACTGAAATTAGACTGGAATAATATCTCAGAGCAGCCTGCCAGGGTCTGAAGGGGTTCCAAGGAAGCTGGAGGGGGGCTGCTCATCCAGGAGAGGGAGTGATGGGCTCAGATTAGAAAGGGGAACTTCAGGTTAAATACACAGGAGAAATTCCTCCCTGCGAGGAGCTGGGATGGAATTCCCAGAACATCTGGGGCTGCTCCATCCCTGTGAGTGTCCCAGGCCAGGCTGGATGGGCCTGGAGCAGCCTGGCACAGTGGGAGGTGTCCCTGCCCATGGCTCCTCCATGGAACTGGGGGGGGCTTTAAGGTTCCTTCCAACCCAAAGCATTCCATTCCATTCCTCTCTCCAGCAGAGGGGAAAGGACAGTGGCCAAAAACGAGGCGTGAGGAGCAGGATTTGGTAAAGCAGGAGTCGATCTGGGAGCCATTGGCTGGGTGGAGCTGAGTGCTGTAGAAAAGGTTTAACAGGACACCAAGGAGAGGAAATACAGTGAATAATTTGTATTTCTGGGTTGGCATTGCCTGTTCCCTCTCCTGCAGCAGCAGGTGAATACCACTGGTGCCTCTGCCGTGGTTTGCTCACCTGTGGCCAAGAGAAATTGATTTTTGTGGTGACAGAGGGCACAAGAATTGCCATGAACACCATCAGTGGCCGGGCCACGAGCAGAGAGATTCCTGTCAAGGGCACAAAAAGGCTTTTAGAGGGAATTTCAGGGCCTGGTGTGTGTGCCATCGGCTGTAGGGGCCAGGGAGATGAAAGAATGAAGAGGAATAAGTGAGGAAAAAGAGAAGACAAAAGCTCCCCGTGTGGGGAAACAGCCAAATAAGGCTGGAAACCCCATTTTGGGGAGAAAAGAGGCTGAAACAGCTCTGTGCTCCACGTGCAGCTCTGGAAGCAGGAGGAATGCCTTGATGAGATCAGATTGTGATCTCACTAATCTGTTTGCACAGTGCTTTGAACATGTAAAGTATTCTGTAAGTGCAGCTTATGATTAAAAGGGCTCTTTAATTCTCTTTTATCTTGGATGTTGGCATCAGGACTATTTCTGTGATTCTATTATATTAAGCAGCTGATCCAAAGGAACCTTTTATTTGCCTGTAAAACAAATTCTGTGCAAGTTGGGACTCAAGTTAAATGAATCAAGCAGATCTTTGAATTGGACATGGAAACGTGTAATTAAAGCTGACATTTCTGCAGACGGGAAAAAAAATAAAAATAAATAAATCAATTCAGGAGCAAGATTTAAATATTACCCAGTCAATAAAGTATCTCTGGCTTCTGCCATGCAAAAAAATGTTCTCTGGATGGTTGAAAACAACTGTGAGATGTGACTGCTGGAATTGTGATGAGATCAAGGTCCTGCTTTTCTCCCTGGCCCTGCAGGATCAGCTCTGGCAGAGCTGGAGGTGCCTGGGAGCTGCAGATCCATCTTGGACAGGATTCCCAGTTTCCCAAACAGATTCCTGACCTGACTCGTTCCATTATTCCCTAAAACACTCTGCATTGTGATTTGTAGAAAAGGGAATTATCCCTGAGCTGGGCTTTGCTTGTTTATCCAAATTTTCCTGGGGCATTCAGATTTTTGGTGCTGTTTCCCCTCTGATAGAAAATCCACTGCAATAGTGGAATACTGTATTTTTTTAACAACTCCGTGCTAAATAAAATCCAGAGCTGCCTGTCCTCAGGGCTGGTGCGTGAGGGAGTGGAGCCCATCCTCCCATGGTGGATTTTGGGGCAGGTTTTGGGGCAGATTCTGGGATTTCCTGCATGGAAAAGATGTGCATTCTTCTTTTCTCCTGGACTGCCGAGGGCTGTAAACTCCCCTCCTCGTTCCTGGGGACCGAGGGAGAGGAAAACTGGTTTGTGCCTTATCCAGGGCACAGAAGAGGGACTCTCCTCTCTGAAAATCCTCTTTTTATTTTTCAGCTCAGCTGATATAAAAAACACAATCTGAGATTTCAGCAGAGCTTTGCTTCTTCAGACAGCTCCAGTCTTTGGGAGGCCCTTTCAGAGCAGAATTCTGGCTCATTCAGAATTCAGAAATGCCCTGGCTTCTGATTTTTCAGTGCATTTTAGCTGTAAAAAATTAATTTTTAATGTCTGGAGGAGCTTGGCAGTTTCATGGTAAGGGGTGAGTGCATGATAATTGAGATATCTAATACTGATGAACTCCTCTTGCAGCAAATCTGGGGGATTCGTTTGCAGCTTCGTTTGCAGCTGTTTAGTGAAATACTCATATTTAAAAGAATGGATTCTGAAAATTTCCCCGACAGAAATGTTTGAAGTGCTTTTGGAGTTTCATGCAGATTTTGAAATGTGAAAATTAACTGTGTGCAGGCCTCCAGTTTTGCTGTTTCTCCCCAGTTTTGCTGTTTTACAGAGCAGCCCTGTGTCACAGGAATTTTAACTGAGACTCTCCCTTCAGTCTGGGCCCGTTCCTGATTCATTTGATCTGCTTGCAGCTGCTGACTTTTGCAGAATTTTAAATCTAATTCTGTTTTGGCATTTGGGGAATAATAATTCTGATCATTTTTTGCTGCCTTAAATTGAAATATCTGCATTTGTGTTGTGCCTCCAAGGGGTCTGAAGAGAAGAATTCATCGTGTATCGTTGCTAATGACGTTTCTCTCCTGTTCCCACCCTCCTCCTCTTTTCCTCAGGACTATTTTCCTAGTGTTGTTGTTTTCTCAGTATGCCAGAAATGTCAAATTTCCCTTGCCCATTTATAAATCCAAGAAAGGATGGACAGCATACAGGCTGCAGCTTTTCAAGATGTTCCCTGTAAGTTGAACTTTTTCTTCCTTTGGGGGAAAAAAATGAAAATAAAAATTTCTGTTTCAGGGTTGGTTTTTTTTTTTTTTAACCTTGGTTTTGATTTTTCTTAGCAGTAGAATACTCAGAGTGGTGAGATAAAAGCTTAAATGGATTTATTTAATCCATATTAAATAAAATATGGAAATATCCTGATTTTGTGGCCGCTCTGCTGAGGAGCTGCTGGAGATGTGGGAGGGGAGGAAGGGATGGATCTTTGTGCAGTGAGAGCCTAAACAGAGCCCTGAGAACTGCTGATAACTGATGGATATCATCTCTTTTCACCTGAACAATTCCCCTGCCCCTGCTGCTCTTGGTTCCCCAGCGTTCCAGCTGGGATCCTTTAAGGGGAGGGAGGATTGCTCTGACCCCAAGGGCTTTGTTCAGCGCCTTCCTCGGGGCACGTGGGCTCACCAATCATCCCCTCCTCTGCTCCTCCTGTCCCCCAGATCATCCTGGCCATCCTGGTGTCGTGGCTGCTGTGCTTCATCTTCACGGTGACCGACGTCTTCCCCCCGGACAGCTCCAAGTACGGATTCTACGCGCGCACGGACGCGCGCCGCGGCGTGCTGCTGGTGGCCCCCTGGTTCAAGGTGCCCTACCCCTGTAAGTGTGCCCTGCAGAGCCATTCCCCCTGCTCCAGAGGCTCTGTGGAGCGTTCCAGAACCTCTGGATCTGGGTGATCCATCTGGGAATGGGAGTCCCTGCTGGTGGTGGGGCTGGGGCTCTGGAGGGTCCCTTCAATCCAAACCATTCCAGAGTTCTGGCACACACCACGCTCATTGCTGATGGTTTTTCCTTGTTTTCCTCTTCACCTGATGCTTTAAGGTCTCCCCCAGGGGAGGCTGAGGTTCTGAAACCGCAGTTTGCAGGTTTCTGGGTGACTCTTCTGACCGTCCCTGTGACGTGGAAATCCCAGGACTTGCTGATGTGTCTGTCCTTGGCAATCCTGTTAAACGTTCTGCAGTGACAGGGACAGGTTCTTACAGCTCTGCTGAGGTCTCTCACTGTCTAAAGAATTCTGTGGGGAGTTCCTCCCTGCTCTCTGCACCTCCCTGCCCCAAACTCTCCCATTCCTGGACGGGCACAGGAAAATGCCCTGACTTGCCAAGGCAGGGCTGGAACGGGCAAGTCACAGAATGCCAGGCCCTGCTCAGCAGAGAGCAGTGGAATTATTTCCAGGAGAGCACCAAACACTTCACATTGGGCATTTATGGACATTTTATGGACAAACCCTGCTCAGCAGAGGACAGTGGAATTATTCCCAGGAGAGCACCAAACACTTCACATTTTCATGGCTAGACCCTGCTCAGGAGAAGACTGGAATTATTCCCAGGAGAGCACCAAACACATCACATTTTCATGGCTAAACCCTGCTCAGGAGAAGACTGGAATTATTCCCAGGAGAGCACCAAACACATCCCATTTTCATGGCTAAACCCTGCTCAGGAGAGGACTGGAATTATTTCCAGGAGAGCACCAAACACTTCACATTGTTATGGACAGACCCTGCTCAGCAGAGGACAGTGGAATTATTCCCAGGAGAGCACCAAACACTTGACATTGTGTTGTGGATGTGTTTTTATGGTGGCCACATCTGAGTTTAAAGCTGTTAAAGGCTGGGAGTGTGGCATGAGATCGCACAACTTCACCCTTCAGAAATTAACGGGGTAACTGGGGAATAATATCCTTTTAGGATAGAATTATGGGAATTACCAGCTCTGCCACCACACTGGGATGAGGCAGCTTCCTTGTGGTTTTGCACATGGCTTTGCTTCTCAAAAGAAACCACTTCTAAAGCAGCAGATGAAGAATAGGAGCTTTTGGGAAAGAAGAAGAGGGGGAAAGCTTCCCCACCCTGATCAGCTCTTTGGTTTTTGTGAGGTTCATTCACTCTTGTGTGCCTGAAGCTCCCTTTGTTGCAGGAAGCTCATCTCTTTCAAAGAGATAAAAGCATCGAGGCAATTGCTGTGGAAAACCTGCCAGGCTTTTCTGCAGGCTTAAATTAATCTTATTTTCTCTGCTACAAAAATGGAGCTGGGAGGTGTTTGTGCAGTGATCAGAGCCGGTTGTTGCCGTCCTCTTTGGTAGACTAAACTTGTGACCAAAGTGAGTTTTTGGAGCAATAACAATTAAGTGGCATTTGCCTCACTGCCCAGAATTGTTTTCTCACAAGCTGTAGCTCAAATTCCTGATTCCTGAACAGGAGGAATTTATTTTATTTTTTTTTTTTTTTTTAGTGGGGTTTTGTGGTTCTCTGGGATTTTTCCAAGTGTGATCAAAGCTGTTGCTTTGGCGGTTTTTCCTTTGCTCCTTTCATCTCCTTGAACTTGCCAGCCTGTGTTAAGAGTGAAGGGAGTTTGTTGTTTCCATCAGAGATAAATAAACATTGCTGGGCACTGGGGAGGCCACACCTCAACCCCAGGGTCACTTCTGGCCCTGCAGGACGAGGGCACGGAGGGGCTGGAGCGTGTCCAGGGAAGGGAATAGAGCTGGGGAAGGGCTGGAGAATTCCTGAGAGAGCTGGGAAAGGGCTGGAGAATTCCTGAGGGAGCTGGGGAAGGGCTGGAGAATTCCTGAGAGAGCTGGGGAAGGGGCTGGAGAATTCCTGAAGGGGCTGGAGAATTGCTGAGGGAGCTGGGGAAGGGCTGGTGAATTCCTGAGGGAGCTGGGGAAGGGCTGGAGAATTCCTGAGGGAGCTGGGAAGGGGCTGGAGAATTCCTGAGGGAGCTGGGAAGGGGCTGGAGAATTCCTGAGGGAGCTGGGAAGGGGCTGGAGAATTCCTGAGGGAGCTGGGAAGGGGCTGGAGAATTCCTGAGGGAGCTGGGAAGGGGCTGGAGAATTCCTGAGGGAGCTGGGAAGGGGCTGGAGAATTCCTGAGGGAGCTGGGAAAGGGGCTGGAGAATTCCTGAGGGAGCTGGGAAAGGGCTCAGGCTGGAGCAAAGGAGGCTCAGGGGGAATTTCTGGCTCTGCACAAGTCCCTGGCAGGGGGGATTTGGGATCTTATCCCAGGGGACAGGGACAGGAGGAGAGGGAACAGCCTCAGGGTGGCCCAGGGGAGGCTCAGGGTGGAAATTGGGGAATGTTTCTTGCCCAGAAGGGCTGCTCAGGCCTGGAGCAATGCTGGAGTCCCCATCCCTGCAGGGATTGAGCAGCACTGATGGTTCATAAAATCCTTCCCAACCCAAACCACCGCACAATCCCATCAGATTCCTGTTTGTTTTGTAGCCAGGCCGTTTCCTGGGGGCAGGAGAGATCCCAGTTTTCCTCTCTCCACAGTTCAGTGGGGGCTGCCCACCATCTCTGCGGCGGGGGTGATCGGGATGCTGAGCGCCGTCGTCGCCAGCATCATCGAGTCCATCGGGGATTACTACGCCTGTGCCCGGCTGTCCTGCGCTCCCCCTCCTCCCATCCACGCCATAAACAGGTTTGTCCAAACCAGAAATACCTCATTTCCTCAGGTTATTTGGGTTTTTACCATTTTTCCCACCTTGGGATGAGACAAGGATGTGCTCCGAGATGAAATCTTGGTTTGGTCAAACATAAGAGCCGAGGATCTGAAATCCAGGATGGAGCTGTCACCTTGGATTATTTCATTACAGAACTCTGGTGGTGGAATTGGGGTTGCCAAAATCACTTGGAATGAGGTTTAGAAACAAAGAGAGGCTCTGAAGTTTTATTTGATTTTTTTTTATAATTTCCCCAGTTTTATTTGAATTTTTTACAAAATTTCCCCATTTTTATTTGAATATTTTATAAAATTTCCCCAGTTTTATTTGAATTTTTTTATAAATTTTCCCCAGTTTTATTTGAATTTTTTATAAAATTTCCCCAGTTTTATTTGAATTTTTTATAAAATTTCCCCAGTTTTATTTGAATTTTTTATAAAATTTCCCCAGTTTTATTTGAATATTTTATAAAATTTCCCCAGTTTTATTTGAATTTTTTATAAAATTTCCCCAGTTTTATTTGAATTTTTTATATCATTTCCCAACTTTATTTGAATTTTTTATATCATTTCCCCAACTTTATTTGAATTTTTTACATCATTTCCCCAACTTTATTTGAATTTTTTACATCATTTCCACAATTTTATTTGAATTTTTTACATCATTTCCCCAGTTTTATTTGAATTTTTTACATCATTTCCCCAACTTTATTTGAATTTTTTACATCATTTCCCCAATTTTATTCGAATTTTTTTACATCATTTCCACAATTTTATTTGAATTTTTTATATCATTTCCCCAATTCCATTGAATTTTTTTATATCATTTCCCCAGTTTTATTTGAATTTTTTACATCATTTCCCCAATTTTATTTGAATTTTTTATATCATCTCCCCACTTGAAGAACGTGGGGATCTAAGAGTCAGGAAACAGAACTCAGATGTATTTTCCAGGTGTGTTGGAGCTTGAAACTTGAATTAAAATAATTATTTGATGGAGCAGATGCCCTGGAGCACTCCTCCCAGTGCTGTCCCAGTGTGACTCTGTTTGATTTGCAGGGGGATTTTCATCGAGGGGCTCTCCTGCGTTCTGGACGGAGTTTTTGGGACAGGGAATGGATCCACCTCTTCCAGCCCCAACATTGGAGTCCTGGGCATCACAAAGGTGAATTTTTATTTTATTTCCTCTGTGTTCTTTGGTCTTCATCAATCCTCTCCCAGGACATCATTCTCCTCCATTCCTGCGCAAACAAACTTCCCACGTCCTTCTGTACCAACTCTTATCTGAGCAAAACTCATTGCTGTACATCAGGAGCTCAAAAAAAATCCTTTTATTCAGAGTTTATTTCCCCATAAAGCAGATGCTGCTGCACAAAATGTCTCTTGGAAAGCCCAGGCAGCGTTGGGGTGGTTTGAGTTGAGGCATAAACACTGCAAACTCTGTGGAAGTTGGTGCTTTTTGATGTCTGAAAGCAGCAGTAGGAAGTGGTTTTTTAATGCCTCGCTTAGTAAAATGCAGCTTGAGGTGTTTGGGCTTTATCTGTGTCTGTGCTGGGACACTGCACCGGCCCAGGGGATGCGGCCAAGGTCATTTCAGAGATAAATAAACCCTAAAATATTCAATTTGAGGCTCAGGGGTTTATGTATTTATTGTGATGCTGCTCAACAAAACACTTGAGGAATTCCTCTGGATGAGCTGGAGGCCTTGGGCTGCAGAAATCTGCCTGGTGATGTTAATTCAGCCTTGGTAAGAAACATCAGCATTGTGTGATTTGTGTTGTAAATTGATCCATCTTGCTGGCTGTTGAACCATAAATCCTTTGTGCAAGGGTAGAAATGTCCTGCACTTGAAGAAACTCATCCACTGATGATCCTGTATCAATTATATACATTTAGATCATGTATCAATTATATACATTTAGATCCTGTATAAATGATACACATTTAAATCCTGTATAAATGATACACATTTAGATCCTGTATAAATGATATACATTTAAATCCTGTATAAATGATACACATTTAGATCCTGTATAAATGATACTCATTTAGATCATGTATAAATGATATACATTTAGATCCTGTATAAATGATACACATTTAGATCATGTATAAATGATATACATTTAGATCCTGTATAAATTATATACATTTAGATCCTGTATAAATGATATACATTTAGATCCTGTATCAATGATACACATTTAGATCCTGTATCAATGATAGATTTGTCCTCAGCCATTCCTTCTCCTGCACAAAGGGTGATTCTGCTGGCCTCAGCCTGCAATTCAGCACTAACAGCACCATCTGCTGTCTGTACATCCAGCTGGAAATCTCCTAGGAGAAGTTTTGATCAGGAAAAAAATCCCTTAAATAAAGGTTTATTCTGTTCTGCTCCCTATTGTTAATTCATGGGGTTTGAGATGAATTAGCAGCACTTTGTGGGGTTGTTTCTGATGAGCAAAAAAAATGAAATGAAATGAAATGAAGAAGAAATGAAATGAAGAAGAAATGAAATGAAGAAGAAATGAAATGAAGAAATGAAATGAAGAATAAATGAAATGAAGAAATGAAATGAAGAAGAAATGAAATGTTCATTTGATGCTGGAGCAGTGGAAGGTTGAAGAAGTGGAAGGCTCTGCAGCAGCCTCTGCTCTCCTTCCCCTGAACTCCTGCCCCAAATTCATCCCCAAAACCCAGCACTTCTCCAGCTTCAGGTGGAATTTCAGCCCAGAAATGCTGTGCTGTTGATAAGGGAGGGGAAAACTTCAGTGCTGCAGATCCCAGGGCGTTTCCTCCCTCAAAATCGGTGTTTAATTACATTTAGAGTTTAAATTCAGCAGGATGGAGGCGCTGCAAAGAGCTTTGTTTGACTTGATGAGAGGAAGATCAATTAACTCTGATTAGCTGGGGCTAAAGCAGCTCCTGCCAAGGAAGAGAATTGAAGAATTTCCCTGTTTCTGGCAGGAAGAGAATTGAAGAATTTTCCTGTTTGTGGCAGGATTGGAATTGAAGAATTTACCTGATTCTGGGAGAGAATTGAAGAATATACCTGATTCTGGCAGGATTAGAATTGAAGAATTTGCCTTTTTCTGGCAGGATTAGAATTGAAGAATTTGCCTTTTTCTGGCAGGAAGAGAATTGAAGAATTTCCCTGTTTCTGGCAGGAAGAGAATTGAAGAATTTACCTGATTCTGGCAGGATGAGAATTGAAGAATTTGCCTTTTTCTGGCAGGATTAGAATTGAAGAATTTTCCTGTTTCTGGCAGGAAGAGAATTGAAGAATTTGCCTTTTTCTGGCAGGATTAGAATTGAAGAATTTTCCTGTTTCTGGCAGGAAGAGAATTGAAGAATTTGCCTGATTCTGGCCGGATTAAAATTGAAGAATTTGCCTGATTCTGGCAGGATTAAAATTGAAGAATTTGCCTGATTCTGGGAGAGAATTGAAGAATTTGCCTGATTCTGGCAGGATTAGAATTGAAGAATTTGCCTGATTCTGGCAGGATTAAAATTGAAGAATTTGCCTGATTCTGGCAGGATTAAAATTGAAGAATTCACTTAATTCTGGCAAGATTAGAATTGAAGAATTGAATTCTAAGCCAAGATCTCAGTGGCCCTTTGGAAATGAATATTTAAATAAACAGCAGAGAAAGGTGCCAGCTGAATCCTGCTGCAATTCCAGCTCATGCTGCAGCTTCTCTTGGCTGTTTTGTTTGTCATTTCACCAATATTTCCTTTTTGAGCCCTGATTCTCTGCACCAGGGGAGAGCTGCAAAGGGCTTTTCTAGAAACCATCTCGATGTGAAAGAGTTTTTGTTGTCCCTGGGGCAGCTCTCATGGCAGCAGAAGGGTTAAAACACAGCTCTCGAGGGTGATCCCGCAGAGAAACACTGGCTGCTTGAATTTCAAAAATAAAAGTGGGAAGGAAGTGCAGGCCCTTGGTTTCATTCTCTGAGGATGTCACAAAACCAGCTGCCAACCTAAGGCTAAAAACCCTTCACCTCCTCCCCATGAGCTGGGAGCTGTCTCATCTGTTCCCACATCCAAGGGCAGCAATACATGGAATTTATTGTATTTTACATGGAATTTATTTCATTGTACATGGGATTTATTTCATTTTACATGAGATTTATTTCATTTTACATGAAATTTATTTCATTGTACATGGGATTTATTTCATTTTACATGGGATTTATTTCATTGTACATGGGATTTATTTCATTGTACATGGGATTTATTTCATTTTACATGGGATTTATTGTATTTTACATGGAATTTATTGTATTTTACATGGAATTTATTTCATTTAACATGGAATTTATTTCATTTTACATGGGATTTATTTCATTTTACATGGGATTTATTTCATTTTTTCCATTTGCCATCTCTCCTGGGCGTGGTTTTCCCATTTTTCTCTCTTTCTCTCTGGGTTCCACCACATTTCCTGACGATTCTGGCACTTCCAGATGGATTTTGGGGTGCACCAGTCCTGGTAGCTATTTTAATTTGTTCCCACATCCAAGGGCAGCAATACATGGAATTTATTTCATTGTACATGGGATTTATTTCATTGTACATGGGATTTATTTCATTGTACATGGGATTTATTTCATTTTACATGGGATTTATTGTATTTTACATGGAATTTATTGTATTTTACATGGAATTTATTTCATTTAACATGGAATTTATTTCATTTTACATGGGATTTATTTCATTTTACATGGAATTTATTTCATTTTTTCCATTTGCCATCTCTCCTGGGCGTGGTTTTCCCATTTTTCTCTCTTTCTCTCTGCGTTCCACCACATTTCCTGACGATTCTGGCACTTCCAGATGTTTTTTGGGGCTGTCCTGGTGCCCCCCAGCCCCAAGGCAGGGATGCTGAGCTCGTCTCCAGCACCAAAAGGAAACACAGGGGCGAGCTCAGAGGAGAAGTGAGCACCCGTGGGTGGCTGCAGACCTCACCAGGGTTTTATCCAAGGGTGGCTGCAGACCTCAGGCAGGGTTTTGTCCTGTTCTCCTGCAGGTTGGGAGCCGCAGGGTGATCCAGTACGGAGCAGCGTTCATGCTGCTGCTGGGCATGGTGGGCAAGTTCAGCGCGCTCTTCGCATCGCTGCCCGACCCCGTGCTGGGGGCTCTCTTCTGCACCCTCTTCGGTAAGGGGGTTCCTGCCCCTCATCCCTCTCCCTAAACATTTTTCTGCTTGATTTTTGAAGAAAAACCCTTATCTAAAAGCTGGGGGGTTTTTTTTGTGTTCAGGGATGATCACGGCCGTGGGTCTGTCCAACCTCCAGTTCATCGATCTGAATTCTTCCCGGAATCTCTTCGTGCTGGGATTTTCCATTTTCTTCGGGCTGGTCCTGCCCAGCTATCTCAAACAGAACCCCCTGGTCACAGGTAGGGCTTTCCTGCTCCTTCACACCAACATCTCTGCCTTGTTTTCCCCTGGGAAATCCATCCAGGAGCAGGGAAAAGCAGAGAAAGGGTCAGGAAGAGGAAACCCAAACCACCGGGGAAATCCCAAATGATTTTTCACATTTCACACCCAAATCCCAGCAGACAGTAAAGGCTGTAGGTCCAGACAAGCTCAGAGAATTCACTGGGAGCTTGAGACCTGCAGGGAATGTTCCAGAAGCTTCCCTGCTGTCTCTGGGTGTGAGGAGGGAGGCAGTCACCAGCTGGGCTGAAAGGAAATCTGAAAGGATGAATGTGAGCTGTAAATTATGTTAAAAGATGAAGGGGAAACACCAAGGCAGAGTTCAGAGGGCGAGGGAATTGTTTGGGGTTGAAACTTTTTGTCACTCAGACCAGTTCTGAGTTCTAGTTTTAGTTTTAGTGAATCCCTCTGCAGATTGTTAATCCAACTTTGAGGAGTTCCCTGGGAGGGTTTTCTGTTTTAAGCAGTGTGTGTCACCAGAGATGGACTCAGAGGAAATATTTCACTGCTTTGGGTTTGTTTGGGGTGTCTTAAACGAAATATTAACTGACTTTTCTTTCCACTATGCCTTCAGACCAGGATTTCAGGGTGTATCTTGCTGTAAGTGGTTAGAAAAGCAGATCCTTCAAGCTTTCCGTGCTTAATGCAGTGTTCTCCCATAAGTGGGGCTGTGAATTCTTGCACCTTTCAAAAGTAAAGCTCTATAAGAAGAATTATTTCAGTCCCCACCGTTTTACAGTCTGAACGTTTCTCTTCTCCATTTCACGGTTTCCTGCTTAGCTCAGATTAGTTGTGTCTGCAGTAGGAACTAAAAAATGGTGTTTTGTGCCATTTCTGTGAGCAGCTGGGAGTTCCTGAAGTTGCATTTTGGGGAACGATGTCCCGTGGCTGTGCACTGGGGGAAGGCTCCGGTGCCCTTTCTGAGCACAGCCCTCACTCAGCTCAGGAACAAACGTTCCTGCTCGGGCTGGGTGTGAATCAGCAGGATTTGGGTGATCCCAATCCCAGAGTTTTCCCTGTTGCTGCAGGAATAGCGGGCATTGACCAGGTGCTGAACGTCCTGCTCACCACAGCCATGTTCGTCGGGGGCTGCGTCGCCTTCGTGCTGGACAACACCATCCCAGGTGAGCCCTGGCCTTGTCCTTGTCCCTGTCCTTGTCCCTGTCCTTGTCCCTGTCCTTGTCCCTGTCCTGTCCCTGTCCTTGTCCCTGTCCTTGTCCCTGTCCTTGTCCCTGTCCTTGTCCCTGTCCTGTCCTTGTCCCTGTCCTTGTCCCTGTCCTGTCCCTGTCACTGTTCTGTCCCTGTCCTGTCCCTGTCACTGTCCTGTCCCTGTCCTATCCCTGTCCCTGTCCTTGTCCCTGTCCTGGCCCTGTCACTGTTCTGTCTCTGTCCCTGTCCTGTCCTGGCCCTGTCATTGTTCTGTCCCTGTCCTATCCCTGTCCCTGTTCTTGTTCCTGTCCCTGTCCTTGTCCCTGTCCTGGCCCTGTCACTGTTCTGTCTCTGTCCCTGTCCTTGTCACTGTTCTGTCCCTGTCACTGTCACTGTTCTGTCCCTGTCCTATCCCTGTCCCTGTCCTTGTCCCTGTCCTTGTCCCTGTCCTGGCCCTGTCACTGTTCTGTCTCTGTCCCTGTCCTTGTCACTGTTCTGTCCCTGTC